AAATAAAGCTCCGTTTTCGTTTTCGATTAATGCGGACGGAAGGTCTAACAGGAGAAATAAAGCTCCGTTTTCAAATTCCTCCGGGTGGTGTGGACGGGGCCTGAGTTAGAATTCAGACATTTTTTTTCACGTAGCCTCCAATACAACAACAACAGCACCAAAGAGGAGGAGGCTAACTTTTTACAGTCTTCTTTACTCTCTTCCCTATTCTATTCACTTGTTTTGCGGAGAAAAAGAAATAGTTTATGTCCTGCTGGGGCGATATAAACCACAGGTCTCCAAGCTCAGCATGTGACAGCATAACGCAACGAACACTTTATTTGTATGGGGAATTAACCTTACGCCTAAATATGCTAAAAGACGCAAATACAACCCTATGTTGAGGTGAGTGAAGTTTGTCATAGCTTTATTTTAGTACAAACCTACCAAAACTCGAACGCACTCTTTAATCTACGATTACTACTGGTTTTAGTATATTTAGGCCTAAAGTTAATCTCCCGTACAAATTCTTTAAGGGGTACTCCACAACAGTCACATACAGTGGAACCTCGATTTAACGAAGTGCCAAGGGACTGGGGAAATTTGTTCGTTATAGCGAGGGTTCGTTAAATCGAAAACCTCGATTTAACGAATTTTCGGAAAAACAACCAAAATGTTCGTTATATCGAGGTTAGTTAATAATTAATTTTCATCGGTGTTACGTAGCACTACCCAGCATTTCTGGATCTGAACAATTACTAATAAGCGCTCTTTCTTTAATATCTATGTAGCTATGTACTGTACAGATATGTACATAGCTACGGCACTTAGAAATTGTACAGGCAAACAAAACTGCTTAAAACTACATATAAAAAACATAAATACACATCTATATTGAGACGCTAATAAAAGATTACTTCCAATGGAGGTTTTTTTGTCATCAGTAAAAAATGCGTCCTCCGTTTAAGAAAAATGAACATGGTATTAAACAAAACGGTAACAATTTTAACACTGTTCTAGTCCAATT